TTTTCTGCAGCAAGAAGCAGATTCAGTTGATATCAAAGCAGATTTAGAGAAAGATAATGAAGATGAAATCACACCTCAAATTAACATGGAGGAGGACAGCAATTTTCTGCCGCAGCAAGGTACTATAGAATGTGACCGTGAAACAAACCTTGTCAATCCTGCTAATATCAACAGTGAAGAAAGCTCAGGGAATTTATCAGACAATGAGGAAGGTATCAGAAAAGAATCATTTGTTGAGAACTTCACAATATTATCATATGGACAATCACCTTCCATTGAAAATGAAAACACAAGTGAGATATTACATTCTCAAAATGTGACATCCGATGAAGAGTCAGAAAATGTACTGAAAAGTGAGGAAACAGAAAAGCCTCCTGAGAAGAAAGAGGAGGATGGTGAGAACTCATCCATGCTAACAAATGTGGATTTCACCGATGATCTCTCATTGCACAGTGAGATCACAAGCATCGCAGAAGTTCTAGAACATACTGCCATATCTGACTTAGAGGATTCATACAGTTCTGAAGATGACTCACCCAATGCCAGTCAGTCATTAAAATCTATCAATCAGGAGGAAATCTCTGAAAATCACAGAAGAGAGAAAGAGAGGGAAACGATGGCGTGTTCTGTGAATGATTCTGGATTAATAGGAGAGACAGAGAAGCATTTTCCAAAATTATCCAGCACCTCTTTAAAAAATGCCTGGGGCAGCAGTGATCATTTCCGAGATGAGGAGTGGGGGATTATTGGCACAGATTTAAAGGCACCAGACCAGTTTATCCAAAGTGATGAAAACATAAAAGAATACTTTTCATACACTGAGCAAAAATACGAAGATAGAGAGTCAAAAGCTTCGGAACAGCAAAATGGAGACCATCATAATAGTAAAAGAAAGGAAGATGACATCTTCACTGCAGAAGTTGAGGGGCTGCCCCCAATACTTGAAAAATGCACAGAGTTGTTTAGCACCACTCTGAAGGAAGAGTTTTGGAAGTCTAATGGAAAGATGGGAGCCTCATTTGATCCACAGGAGTGTGGGAATTTGGAATGTGTCAACACGCGCCCTAATCCGAACGCGGAAAATATAGAGAACATGCCAGAAACAAAACAGTGCACAGAATTAAGACTAAAGGGGACTCAATCACACGGTCTACCAGAGCAAGAGCAAATCCCTGCTCACATCAAGCAACTACTTTATAAAAACATGGAAGAAGACAAGAAACATTCTGAAGAATCTCTGGAAGAGGAAGACTCCTGGTCAGGGGGAGAAGATTAGGAAGTGCTGGGAGAAAAGTGGAGATGTTCTGCTGAAATTACTTTCTAAGTAGCTCTGAAATTAAAGTTCCTAAGAATGATCAGTACTTTTGAGGGGAGTAGAACGCATCCTATTCTATAAATAAAACCGAATAAATAACGGCACATAACAGTGCAAATAAAACAGATTAAATTGCGGCAGATATACAGAACTGAACAACAGTGTCTTACATTTTCAAAGAAGAGCTCGTAACATCAAATAATACATCATGTATGTATTTCAGAGGTTGTTCTTGAAAGTATGACATTTTATATGAAGACATGAAACAAACATCCTTCACAGAGAGGGTGGCTGTATTTCATAAAGTTTGTGTACTGCATGACAAGGTTTGATGCATGACTTTTAGAGAGGACTGTTTATCTGAGAGTTAACAAAACATTTAGGGAAAAAGGTAGCATGACAATTTATTTTTTGATTTTAAATAGTAAAGTTTTCTTTAAAAATGTTTTTAAAAGCCTAAATTTAAACATCCTTTAAACAACACCAACAGTGCCTATACTACTACTATATTACTACTATATTACTACAACTAACTGACATTTCTAGACCGTCCTTAAGCAGCTATTTTTTAAATTGGAGCTTTGATGATTTTAGTAGGTTTTACAGAGTGTGTATCCAAAACAAAAATACCAAAAGAGTAAGAATATTTATTTCTGAGTATTTATCAGAACTACATCCTCATTCTGTATTTATTTTTTGAAGTTGCAGGGCAGCTAAGTCCTACCTTTTAATACTGTCACAGTAAGTAGGCTACTACTAAGCATCTTTATTCATGATTGTGCAATTTTACATTTCACCTATTCCAATACATATAAATAAACCAGTTCAAGCACTACATACCAAATTTCTCTAATACTTTCTATGTTGACACTCTTACCCACAATGCAGTATAAATTCTGAATTATGAATGATAATATATGGTACTGCAGGTATTCAGAAGGTTAGATATGTTGGTGATGACCACTTGCCTTTGCTTCAGAGCCAGACAGTTTAAATTAAATCGTTGTATTCTCATTTGTCTTTGTTATTGGAAAACCAGTTCATTTCTGTTTCTAGGATACAGCACTACAGAATGTTCTTGTAGACAAAAGTTACTTTGGGATACTTTCATTTAAAACTGTTAATACCCTGGCTGACAGCTATGTTCCTCCGAGGGAAATAAATGTCTAGCTTCATTCTGTTCTACAAGGTAGCATTGGGTAGGGGGGGAATGTCTTGTGGAATACACAGTTGCAAGTCATACCTGGGTAGTTTTGATGGCCATCTTGTTTTGACATAATGTGCTAACATTGTGCAAGAGAAAATAAAGTAATTGGCAAAGAGTCTATGAAATGTTTTTTTATTTTATTTCTGGGATTGTGTTGAATATTTTCTCTCATGTCTGCTCTATGTGATAGAGATCACAAAAGAAAAAAAAAACTGTTTGGAGAACCCAAGTTTTGGATGATGAGTGAGTCTCTGTGCAAAAGTCAAAACATAATGTCAAAGTGAGGTTCTCTCTGTCATGGCAGTGAGCTGTAGATGATAGGATTAGGGAACAATGCCGTGGTACATAGAGGAAAAGACCCAGAAATAGTCGTGTCAACAACCGTGGCAACTATATTGAATAGTTAGATAACAGAGGCTGTGTTAGATCACTGTCTGTCTGTCTATCCCTCCACATACTACTTCAGTCCAGAAACACAAAGAGCCCATCCCAGGAAACACAGGGCACAAAGCAGGGGATCACCCAGGACAGGATGCCAGGTATAATAGTGAATTTATTGTTCCTTTTCTCACATATGTACAGAATTGAAACAATAAAATAAACTGCGTAGCATCTGCATTTTTATATCAATTAAAAGATTGATTAAGTACTGGGGCGGTGGTCCCAGTGAGACCAGTAACATCTCTGGCTCAGTGAGCAGCCTTCAGGCCTTAAACGCAAGATGAGTGAGAAGAGACGAGTAAAAAAAAAAAAGAGAGAAAAAAAAACATAACTTTCTGATATGAGTCACCTTCTCAAGGCCATTTCTCACCTAGTTTTTAGGACAATGGCAGCTATTCATAAAGCAGCAACTTCACTCCCTTCTCGTTAAATCCTCCCCATCAATATTCTGGGTTTCAAAAATGAGAAAATGCTATTATGCTGACATCAGACCGTCCCACAGGCTACAAGTCATCCTGGAGTCGTCATTCTATTCCGCTTCTTTGTAACACTTTCCCTGACACTGTGGAAATGCGTTGTGAACCAGTTTCATTTTCATTCAACACTTACGGGTGCTCGATGAGCCACTCATCACAAAGCTGAGGAACATGCCAGTCCGAGTATACCACTACATTACTGTGAGACACAGTACGATGTGAAGATATGTCTGAAACTAATTATTTTGAGGTATACTGACCAAGTTTTAACCTGAAGTGAGTCTTTGATAATAAAATTAACGTTATGGCAGATTACATCAAATTACATACCACACACATTACATTAGACATCATGTGCTGCAATATCCGGAAAATGTGATGAGTGAAATGCTGAGAAGGACAGCTGCTCCTCTCATAAATATCACAGCCTTATGACATTACTGAGTAACTTCGACTGATGAAACAGACTGCAAGAACAATATTAATAGCTGGGTCAGCTGCACTTTGGGTCTATATTTTAGGTGTGTGTCACACATCAATCCAGTCCTTTAAGCCCATGTTGGTGGAATGAAAAGGAGACTTTATCCGGATGAAATATCTTGAGACTGGGTGACAGTGCACTTTCCTGGAAGCCATCTGTTCCCCCCAAACCAACTGTGCCCCTTAAAGCAAAGACGAGATGGATGACTATGTAACATTTTACATGGGAATTTGAGGATGGCTGGGTGGATGGATGGATAGACAAATAGATAGACAGACAGATAGAAAGGTTTTAAAGGGCTTTACATTTTTTTTCCATTTTTCCTCCTGAAGAAAAACAAGTTGTGTCACAAAATCTCAGGCGCAGATGGCTGGTGTTTCTGGGGATGTCTGAAAGCAACTAAAGCTTATAAACTGACGACGACAACCGAAATGCCTTCAAATGTCAAATAATATTTTCTCTGAAAGATAGAATTGTCCTAATACATCTTAAGGGTGGTCTGAAACGGCACTTTTAAAACACATTACAACGTCACTACAGCCATAAGTTGTACACTTTCAGCCACCGCATTTTCATACATTAAAAAAGAAAAGAAAACATAAAAACTTGGTCAGAAGGCACTGGAGAGGCAGCTATGTTTAGCCCTGACTGAGGGTCCAGCAGATGCTGCCGCAGAGAGCAACAGCAGAGCCTGTCTGCCAGCCTGTCAGACACATGAGCTCAGCGGCTGCCCGGCACAAAGGCAGCTGACCCCCCCAGCTGACAGCGTGGTCAGGAGCGGCGGCGGCCCATTCCCCACATGGCCCTCGTGACCTCGCTGCATTTCTGCACACCCACACACATTCACTCTCCTTTACTCACACTGGCCACTTTTCTATTATCGAAAAAATAAAATCCTCTTTTTTTTATGGCACCACTGACTGAAATGTCACCCCCCCCCCACCCCCCACATTCTAACACCAATAACTACTCACCAATCATCTGATTGGGGTTTGTTGTTTATTCACAGCTTTTACCCAATTCCCTTAACATACACAGTACTACAAAAAAAGTCTTAGGCAGTTGAAGAAAACATTCAAAGCCATTGAACTGGTTCGTAAGTAAGTGAATAAAAATTGAATTCATGGAAATGAACAGTAAGACAAAAACTAACAAGAATTTCTTGTTTTCCAAAAAGTTACTGATCTCTTGCAGAATAGCTAGATGCATACAGTATCAGTCCCCAAACCTCTCCTCGGGGCACCATAGCCATTCCATGACTGAGTTACAATTCACCACCAGCTCTATTAATCAGTTAAGTCTTCTGCACAGTACTCTTTACCCATCTGAAAAGCCACATGTTGGACTTCATGTTTCATTTCACAAATCCATGATACATCAGCATAATGACCGTCCTTCTGCTGATCAGTCACTGCACACGAGGGGCCTGGAAGAGAGGCAGCTTCTCCCTTGCAGCTCCTCGAGGCTGCGAGCCGGTTTGGGCTCTGTGAATACTCAGGCCTGAGCATGGTGTCACATGACCTTCACCCTAATCTCCAGGCATGAGTGTAGTTAAGCTTCTCGATCCTCATCCCCTCCCCCCCCCGTGCCGCTACACTGGACAGCAGACAGCACCACTGTAAGGGACACATATAATGCCCTTCAGAAAAATATATACAACTGTATAACTTGGAGGGGGGGGGATTAATCCGATCAGGATCAGTTATGAATTAAATGAACGTGTTATATGAAATGCTTCATATATATATATAAAATGCTCTTAATTTAATGAAACAGACAGAGGTCCAGGATGTCAGGGCCGAAAAGGATGTGTCATCCTCCAGCAGATCGGCCGCTCGCCGCAGCCCCCCCATCACCCAGCTGCACATTCTCCTCTCCTTACTCACCCACAACGGTGCTCTTACATTCACGTCCCTCTAGCATCCGTTTCCTTTTGTGCAGTCAGAAGAACAGATTTCAAGAGGAGGGAAAAAAAGACAGATATTGTACCAGATGGAGACATTTGGAGATGCATTTTTTTTTTTTAATCATGGACAAGTCAGTCGCCATTTACCCAGCCTTTCAAACCTAAGGACAAAGGACTCGTGACTTCAGAGATAAGTTAAGCTGACACATAATTCTGTTGGCAGATTCCACAACATGGCAGGTATTCAACATTGGCTTAGAAAGCAAGCAGACTTCCACCTGGTGGATATAATGGTGCATTACAGACTCCGTGATTCACTCTAACCACGCTGGTATAAAACATCACATAACTTGCTCTTGAACAAAGATCTTTAACTAGCCAGTTTTAAAAACCTTTTCAGTGGAACAAATAAAATATGCTACTTAAATATTATGATAACAACCATCATTGAAATGGATATGGGGTGTTCATTGAAATTGAATAAAACCAAACAACCTCTCCTTTTAGGTCAACTTGTCTATTTAATATATAAAATACGGTAAAACATACGCAAAAAGGGAAAAGGTGTCAAGGGACAAATGGATACTTTGGTACAATAACAAACACTTTGTAAAAGCAGTATAGAATTTTAATAACATATCAGTGCATACTTTGTTTATGAAAATATACACAAATTGTATATCATTCTCCAAAAACAAAACTTTTTATTTTTTATTTATTATATATATATATATATATATATTTTTTTTTTTACAAAACTCAAAGCAGACTAGCCAAACACAATATATTAGCTATAATTTTCTTATTTTAAACCTTTTTCTTCCATTACATCTTGTGATTTATAATCCCATTGATAATATTTTTCTTTTATATATTTATATGGATTACTGATCCATATTTTGCTTAATACCATGCATTTACATTACTGAAATCTTTGTGTCTGATCAGAAATAAATTAAATGTGCACTTGTTACTTCATGTATTAACCAGTTTTTTAAACATTAGACTAAAAATTGCAGCATTGACTGGTAGTTTTATTCAACTTGTGTTTTGCCTTTACTCCATTATTTATATGCACTAATATTACTACAATTTATTCATAAACCGTGCAATATTAGTTAACACCCCTTTGAAGAAAAAAGGAACAAACAGAAAACAAAAATATACTTTATATAATATTTATAACAAAAAAAAAATCAAACAAAAGAATTCTACCCCACACAAAACGGCAGAAAACGATTGGCTTTCATTATTATTATTACCATTATTATTATTAGCAATAACAATAACTATAATATTAATAAAAAAAAGACAACAGAACTGTCACCAGCACAAATTAACACTACAAAATGAGTGATATTCTAAAACAACATTATACATGTGAAATAAGGGGCAAGATTGTCATTCCTTTCGATTACAATGACTCAGCTCAGTGTCAGAACAACAGCTGCTACGTTTCAGTGCTTAAAGCCAAAGTACGTAAAAGCAGACAAGGCCGGGGCCCATGTCCTCTCTGGCCAGCATGTACCCTGGACTCTGCTGCCTTAGTTTGCGGCCAGTTGCGGATCAGCTGTAGGTAAGTGTCTCACAGCCTGTGGAGACCGTGTCCTTGTCCATAGACAGCACTCGCTGATATGCCCCATCAGTGATGTACAAGGCTTCCCTTCAAACTACCATCTGTACAGCCGGTGCCTCTTACAGTCAGGCTTTTCCTCTGAGGTCTGCAAGCGCGTTCAGCAATGTCCTACAAAAAGCAGGAACAGGACAGCACCGAAGGACGTCGACAGAAAGGGCACGGCATGTAACTTTGGTTGCGAGGACTGCGGTGGAGTGATGCAAGGTGAACCTGTATTGCTGGCTGATTAATGGAGAATGGCTTCCTCTCACTAGTGAGTGAGAACGTCCCCTGATTGACGGCAGAGGTACCATGGTGGTGACCTTAACCTATAGAAAGATGCTACAGTCCATAAATGAACCTTGCCGATATTTTCATCGAGTACTTCTGAGTGGGTTTGCCAGGATGGGTGGGAGATGATCGATCAACAACTTTTAGTCTGCCAAAGTGACCCGCAACGGAAAGAGTTGATACTTTGATACTTTATGGGTCAGACGTGACTTTGACAGTACACAGAATACCCACATCACCAAGATGTTTTTCTTAAAAACCTGCAGCTGCCAAACGATGATGCATAAAGGAAAAAAAAAAAATGTTTCCAGCTTGAATAAATTCAAAATTTGCAAAGAAAAAAAAAAAAAAAACAAAAAAAACAAAAACAGCAGGCGCATGAAACAGAACTGAGCTCTTTAGTGACTTCCAGACAAATTCAATAAGAAAAGACAACTATCAATATTGGTATAACTGAGCACTGCTACTGTACTCATGTGCATGGACATCATCAAAGAGACATGTTGTGGACATTCCACTGCTGAAAACTTTTTTAGACACTTCAGATACTTGCTACTTGTTTGTGCTCTGACCATTTCCTCCAAATCATCTCAGCCTGGATGCTGGATGCAGTAATACTCCAAATGTTTAGGATGGGGGGGGGGGGGGGCTAGGACACTCATCTGCCCCAAGAAGTTTTACCCAAAGGAGGATTCAGGTTCCCTCTCTACCAAGAACCACAATAAAACATGTCTTAGTTTCCCAGCCTTCATAAGAAATAGTGAATCCCTTTTCACTAACGATAAACACACTATAAAATACTCAATATACTGTACGTAACAGATAAAAATATTAGACAATTCTGGAGTATTGCAGAATTTCAATACACGTCGTAAAGATAACGAGTAAATAGCTTTTATTTTACAGGAGACACTTGTCTTTTTTGTGTTTTTTTTTTTTGTTTGTCTTTACATATCCTCTGCTACTCTACTTCAGAAGTGCAAACATGGGCTTTGGAAAGCGTCTCTGTCCTTGAACCAAACAGACGGCTTTGCCGAGGAGAGGGTTTCTGAGAAACAAAATGGAGGCTGAGCAAAGGGCTAATGGTGGTGAGCATCACCCTTCGACCAGACGCCACAGCTAGGTTTGGCTGTGAAGATCAGGTGGCTGTGTAGGGAAAATGGAGAGATGATGCCAGAGAGACAAGGCTGAACGAAGGGAAAACCCCCTCACCTTAGGAACAGTACAAGATGGCCTCACTGTCCCCCAAGAGTCAGAAGGGGACAAGCTATTGCCAAAACCGTGGCTTTTACAAAGGACAGGGGTGGGAGTTTAAAGTGCGCTTTATTAAAGTAAATATTATAAGCTATTCACACAGTCATCTCCTCCATCACCTCCTTCACTGGCCCTCCAGCATTTCTGCTTGGAGCTTATGATTCTGATTTTTATATATATATCTCCATCCATCCATCCATCCATCCACTGAGAATCAAAAGGTGTATGTATATAATATACACAAACACATGCCATACTGTCAACCGATTCCTAGACATCTGACGAACTTAAGATTTTAAAAGCTAGCAAGTTTATCTAAAGCCAGCTCAATATATCTTTCACTGTTCGCCTTCAAGATCAAGGGCTGCTTTAATGAAGCTGTCAGCTGTAAAATGCTGAAAACAGAGTTCAGTTGTTTTCCATTTACGAGAGCATCCCTCAGCCCCCTTAAACACAAGCTAGGCTGTTTCTTTTTTTTTTAAATAAAGAAAAAAACTTTATTAAATAGCCTGATATTTGATCAATTAAGCAGCCATGAAAAGGAGCAAAAATTATATATGAACCGTGATCAGAACGCAGAGGAGAGCAAAAGTTAGAGGAAATCCAGCTGGGTGGTTCTCCCTTTGATATAATGAAGAGATTTAATGGGTTATCCAAGGTTAGTAGGGCGGACTGGTGGCTCCAAGGCTGGGGATCTGTGCCAGCAATCGGAAGGTTGCCGGTTCAAATCCTGTGAATGCCAGGAGTGATTCTACTCTATTGGGCCCTTGAGCAAGGCCCTTAACCTGCAATTGATTTGTCCTGGGTACATGCAACCAGGTCTCCAAACTTCAGGGAACATTTGGGGGTTGGCGGCAGGATTGGCACTACTGCCACTGGGAGAACAGAACTTCACACTGCTCCCTTCCATGCGGACTAGTGTGGTGCTGTGGTGTCACCCGCCGCATGGCTGCACTGGGGCCGTCGTCCCTGAGGTGGGTGCGGCCTCGCGCTGTCAGCGTTCCCTCCTAACCTCCTCCTATGTAAGGCTGGACATCGTCACTCTTTAAGAGTACAGAAGGCTACAGTTCTCTCAAAAAAAAAAACCAGGCAAGCAGATCTTTTGAGGCAGAGAAGGGAATAGGTTGAGACAACAGTGTGTGTGTGTGGGGGGGTGAATTAAACCGAAGAGGTGTACCTGCCCATTGGTGACTCTATTCTATCTCTGCATCCCACCAGGAAGCGACCTTCTCTTACACAACAATCCAGACAGACTCTTGCTTCCACAAAAGCTTGGTTTACCTTCACTGCCTACAGAGAATCTTCACAACTCTTCATCTTCAATTGCTATTCTGATTCTGTAGCCTGCATAGTGGAGCAACCACCTAATTAAAGTATTTGCCGGGATTCAGATTAGAGAACCGTACGCAAAAAGGCCGTAAGCCAGAAAAATACTTTGAAGCCGACAGCTTTTGCAGTTCTGTTCTTTTTGCGGATGCGGGTCTTGCCAAGCCGGACTGCATGCGATGGCCAATGCGGGGTGGACGACAATGTTTGTGAGGCCTGTTTGCGAGGAGCAAGAACAACCTGTGCTGCAAAGGGGGGGGAGGGACAGCAGAAATCCAAGCGGTGATCAGGCCAGTGCTTAGAATGACTCACGTATCCTACGGCTACAGAGCAGTGCAGTTCAACAAAGAAAAACTTCAAAGAAAAATGAACTGTGGAATCCAGAGGAATCATAGACCAAACTACAGACAGAACTGAAAACAAAGCTAGGAAAAAGCCCCCCTGTCCTTTCACACATATCATCTCTTTCTCTGTTGACCCAGAACTCCCAGCCCCCCCCCCCTTCTGTACTGAAGGATAAATATTTTAAAATTAACAATTAAAATTTCATATTTTGTCGCCCAGGTCCTTAATAAATCCAGACCACTCCAAACAGAAGGGCAAGCTCTGGTTTGTTGGGCTCAGTCAATGAGAGCTGTGTGCACGAGCGTGTGTGTGTGCACGAGCGTGTGTGTGTTGGTAGTGGCAGGAGGCCGCGATGGTTGGTGGCAGTAGCATCAGTGTGGATGGATGGATGGCTGGATGGGGGGGTGGGGGGTGGCGGTGGGGCATCATGTACACCTCTTAATTTTCCTTTTTATGTGACCCAGGCATCTAGTCTCATGCGCTTGACGTTGGAGCCCTCTTGCTCCGCCTCAGCCGAAGGCCGCAAGGGCACCATCGTGGAGCTGAAGTCGGGAGGCCGCGCCTGGGCCCCGTCATCGCGGTCGCTGCCCTCGTAGGAGCTGCCATTACTGCTCAGGCTGTCGACGGGCGATCGGCCGGTGGTCTCCAGGCGCAGGGCCCCGGGATACTGGGCGACGGTGGTCAGGACGCCGCCGGATGCGGAGCAGGGGGTGCTGCGGTCCCGGTTTGGCGACACGGGCTCAGACTTGATGCTCACGTTGGGGTTGGTGTTGACCGTCAGTGTGGTGCCCTGAGGTAAGTGACCCACCGGCCTGAAGGTCAGAGGAGGAGACAAAGGGGAACGTGAGCCGCTGCTTGCGACCGGTCCGCAGATGGAGGAGGCGTGACGCAAAGCCAGGAACAGAAACAACGGTGTAACGGTCCTAACACACACAACACAGTACATAGAAGATGGCAAATGGTCATGTAGCTCTCAAGCCCCTTAGCATCTACAATTCCAAGATCTTTAAAGCACCCAAATATCATCTAGCCCCAAATAGTCTGCCTGCTTTACAATTAAACACTACGGTGACCTGCCAGCCAACCACCCAGTCCACCACTCATTAAATCACAAAGGTCAAGCATATCACATGGTTTAATTCTCTATTAATATGACCGCACTGTACTTTAGCTTTGCTTATAATTCCTCACTAACGTTAGCAGGACGCTTTTGTCCCAAGTGGATACAGTGCAGTCAAAAACCAAGCAGGATGGAGTTTGTCTAGATGATACACTCAAGTTCCCCAAAGAAAAAACTAGTAATCCTGGTGAAACGCTTCAGGGAAAGCAGGACGACTCTCTGAGACTTCTCGGAAGCAAAGGCGAAGCGCTGGAATGATGACGACAGGTCAAAGCACATCATCTACAAGCCATGCCCTCTACATTAGGAGCCATGATGAATTAATATCTCAACGCTAACCCACTCCAGCTTTATCATTTCAAATTAGGCAAAAAACAAAGACACCAACAAGCAAGAAATAATGAGTAACTTTCATGTGTCCAAAACCACGTTCCCCACAAGCTCAGAAGCAGACATACTGGCACGTTCACGTGTTAAAACTGCCATCGCTTCTTGTGCTGCTACAAACGTGACTGTGAATCACAGCCTTATTTCTGCAGATGCACTGCACTGACATGGAGGCTGGACTGTCCTCCCTGAGAACAGCGCGATGGAAAAGACAAGGACAGTGATGGCGGCCCGGCCAGCTGCAGGAACCAAGGACGAGCTGATGCAGAAGCGTATGAATATCCACGGAAGAGTTGTACAATACCAGTTGAACCCTTCTTCCCTGCCCAAGAGCAAGTTTGACTGCGATGTCATGCTGTAGAAGGGAAAAACAAGCGGTTTCAAGACCCAACAGTAGAGGGCGACAAACATCCAAAAGCTAATGCAGATAGGAATATGTGAGTGGAGGATGCACATTGAATTTTCACAATTTTCTGCGCTTCTGCATGATGAACAGGGGTGGTCAATAAAAACCCTTTGACGTCCTATATTTTTCTGAAATCTCGGCAAACTTAAATCAATGTACAGAAATAAGGAAATTAAACCCAATAACTACGATAATGGGTATTGGGAGTTTCATGATGCAGTTTAGATTTGCAAAAGTACATTTCACCCAAATAAAAGGGAGCCTCCCATCCACCTTATTTTAAACTTCTACATCATTTCACAGAAATGTAACTTAAGTGCTTTTGACAAGTGACTTAACAGTTTATAAAAGGTTCTGTTGTCCAAAAAAGTTAGATGCTTTCACAGCTGAAAGTGTAACATATGATGTACTCATTAATGAGACTGAATTGTGCATAAATGCTGCCCCCTAATGTCAATTTTACAATAAGCAAGGAAAAGCAACATATGCATTCAACTCCACATCATTTACTCTGTTATGCCACAAGCAGCTTAGCCACAATGCACACTCGAAAACAAATGCATGATTTCAATCCATTAACCAAAATCTTTCTCCTTTGCATGTGTAAACAGCAGCAATGGCAAGAATCACAGATCCTGTCACAGCCCAATATATAAATACATGTTACAGGAGGCAAGAGCAACTTATTTTGTCCCTGGCCAATATTTAATATTAAGAAATACTAAGAAAACAGCACTAAGAACCAAAATCTAAGACCGGTATCTCTGAAAGAAAACTAGGATAGAAACTAGGACAGAAAACTATATTGTATATAGGAAGTGACGTAATCTAATTTTTAGAGACTTCCATGTTTCTGGTAACATGTTAAGCTGTTCAGAAATGAAGCCATAATAATCACCAATCACTCTCAGGTACTTCTGGCCAAGGGGCCTATTTATTTTGGAGAGTCCTGCACTGATGTCACCAATGTGGCTGTTAGGGGGCATTAAGTGAATGGGTCAGGCCCTCCAGAAGGGATGAGGAAGCAGCTCACGCAGACACACAAAAGCAGCAGATGTCTTCAGAGCACAGTCAGTGTGACGACACTCGAGGCACCGGCAGAGATCCGGAGGCTGCGAAGGCCGCCGCCGGCCGACTCCCGAGCGCGGCGTGAAATCTCACAGCACGAGAGCCCGGGTGCGAGGGAGCGACACTAAACTGACGATCCTGCCACATGACAGGACTCCGATAGTTTGACCAACCGAATCATGGGCGCGAAGTCATCATAGGCAAAAAAAAGTAAAGTATATTAATCAGGACTTCCCTCTGGAAGGTCAGAATTCACCATGAAGCCACTTTGTGCACAACTCCCTACCTTTCCTGTCAATCCCACACAAACCATCAGAAGATCCCATTGGTTCTGACATGAGTAGCAGGTTATTCACAAATGCCACTTACCTTAAGGAATGGGCCAGACATTATATCGTAATATATGCTATTTCAATAATATTTTCAAATGCCATTCTAGTATTTTCAAATCTTGCCAATAAAATTCACTTAGTGGGAGGGTAAGGCCGATATCATTTGCTGGTTAGCCACCCGTCGCATGCCGAATTTTGTTGCCAAGATTGCAAAATACCATGGTATACGCAAAACAATGCGGAACACCCAAAATACTGAGACATACCATATCACCTCAACCCTACCCCAAGCCCAGAAAAACCACCAGCCCAAAGGTTTATAGCGCCTTAATAACTACCAGAGACATCCAGGACAATGGTGATGTGTCCTTTGGTGGTGAATGCGAGCACACAAACACAATGATTAAAAAAAATTAATAAACTATGGGAGTGGCAATATAGTATATTACCATTTAAATGAAAGCCAAGGTCATTGTAGAACTATTAGAACAGCTCAGTGTGTCAGTGTTGGGGGGGGGGGGCTTTTTAAAAAAATGCTATGCGTAGCAAACCACTGATGCTGACAGTACATGTGAAGCGTCTGTATGCCACAGAAGTAATATACTACAAATGTAAGCCTAGGCAAACAAAAGCGAGGTGAAATTAAAAAAGAAGTATAGAGGAAATGACTTTCCCTTAGGAAGAAATAACATAACGGAAAACAGGGAAATGTGCTTTCTTTATGCATTAAAGGAAGAAATAACATAACGGAAAATAGGGAAATGTGCTTTCTTTATGTATTAAAGGAAGAAATAACATAACGGAAAACGGGGAAATGTGCTTTCTTTATGTATCATCAGCTCAGTAAATATGCTATTGGGTTTTTTTTCAGCTTAATGTCCCTAATTATAGCGGCCAATTTCAGCAAGTCTGGCCATTTCAGCAAAAGGCAGAGTGTATATTTAAGATTAGTCTACTGAAATGGAAGTGGGGTTCAATGTTAATGTAAAATAAATAAATCAGCATTTCACCTCACTTATCTTTAACAATTTCAGACAGTGAGGCCTCCTTGTTTCTTACAGAAAGGCACCATTCAACTGTTTCATGATCACCAGGATGTACATGAGACACATTTAATTACTGTGATAAAATATTTGCAGTGAATTAGCACAGAGGGCTTAGCAAAAATTCTTAGGATTTGGGAGCAAACACAAGGACTGTCTGGCGGTCCCCAAGGATCAGATTCAGAAACACTATTCCCCCCAGGGGAAAACGACTCCCTAAGCTACATATACAATTGTAATGGCAGTCTCAGGCATATCGCAGGTTTATATTTTAGTACCCCCCCCATTTAATCCAGTGCTGCAGGCAGTCCCGACCCCACAGTTCGGTCCACTTCACCGCACAGACGTTAAATGGCAGACATGAACATGATATCACACAGTGCAACACTAATTCACCTTAGGTTTGCAGCAAGACTGGAGATACAGCTAGACATCTCAATGCTCTGTTTATCCACTCCCCACATGCTGCGGACAGAAGAGAACACACAGAGTTACGGGCGGCTCCCGGGCACACGCTGCAATCAAGACTGACCTCCCTCCACTTTCTGTGCTGGGGAGCCCCAGCACCCATCATACAGCCCCCCCCCCCCCCCTCCCCAGCCTTAGCGGGGCAGCCCCACACTGCAGCCTGCCACTTCAATCTGGGCATCGCTATGGTCCCCTGCAGCAAGTACAGATGGTACAGGGCTACCTGCGTGTCTTCTCCATGCCTCAGAGTTATGTAAGCATCTTAATAGGCCATGGGATTATTCTTTATTTATTATTATTATTATTTTTATTATTATGTCCCTTACTTCACTGACACATACTTCCTGCTCTTCTAAGAAGCATGTTCTAGCATTTTAACCATCACTGCCAGCTTCTGACTATTATAAGTGTAGCTATCAAAGGTCCCACTTTTCCCCCCAATCAGACTAGCTTCAATCTGAAAACTGTACCAAACAAGTACTTGATAAAAAGCGTGAGGATTTTCTTAAAGAGTTCATTAGTCCACAGAACAGTGTGAGCCCGACTACGCACACTACAAAACAGAAAACAAAGCACACAATCTATATGTCTTTAAGCAAAGTATTCAGTTTACCTTTGAAGGACATATAATATTGAAATCCTGAGAAGAGTTCACTTGTTTTCTGTTTTGGGGTCAGTTTTAGCTGAGCCTTGATAAGCTGGAGTGTGCAGAAAGTCGACTAATTCAAGACAAAGGCTTGGATCTACAGGCTTTTCATTCTGAATGTAATGATGTGGCCTTTACTTGCATAGCTATGATAATAGAGAGGATGGATGCAGTTGAATGAGGTGTTAGGTGTACCTGAGATGTTTGCCATCAAGTGGACTGTGTCATGCAATGACTGTGGGCAGTAAACTCACACTAAGTTACTGAGTGAAGCCAGGTTCAGTTGTTGTTGTTGTTGCTGCTGCTGCTGCTGTGGTTGCTGTTGCTGGGATACCGATGGTTGCTGCTGCTGCTGCTGTGGCGGCTGCTGCTGTTGCCAAGCGGACATGTTGCCTAGCGACAGACCACCCGGTGATGTGAAAGCCTGGAGTGCTGTGAGATCAGCACTTGTCAACTGGTAATCTGAGATAAAAGAAAAGACGCGATAAATGCATATTAATTCATATTGTAAAGATGGGCAAATCGATCCATATTTATCAATGTTTTATGCTAATGTGTTTAATGTATTTACGAAGTAATGAGATATACATGAATATGCAGAATTTATTCTGTAAAATAAATGGATTCACATCCTCAGAATTAATTATATTGATGCCATTTTGTCCTTGCCAACAAAATTAAGAAACAGGAGAGATGTGTTAAGAGACGGCTACTGCAAGTGACATCAAATGAGGCTGAGCATGAAGGGGTTACTTAGAGCACGACAAAGTAAACGTTCACAACGCCAGAATAATAAGACCTGTTACCTTCAAAGCTGCCCTGAACACAGCATGAATGCTGCCTATTGTGGAATAATTTCCCGTGGCCATAAGTTTGTGTTTATGTGCGGTTTACTTTAGATCTGAAAATTACGATTTGAACTGCATCTTATGTCAATGGAGATAAAGTCTGTATCAGAAAATGAAAACTAGATGAACAGACTGGCCAGATTCACCACGAATCAGCGCACATGAGTCATCTGGGTATGCAGCGTTCATCCGTGCTGCTGTCCCCCCCAGTCTGGCTTGCTGCGCGCGATCCCCGCGGCGATCTCCACGGCGATCTCCCCGCTTTACCTGTGTTGTAGGCGGTCGGCATGGCCGAGAAGGGCAGTCCCTGGCTCAGAAGGCTCGGTGTTGCCACGGAGACCACCGGCGTGGTGAGCGGTTGTGTCACCTGAGAGCCGCCTAACCGCTGGGCATTCTGGGAACAAAGAAGGAGAGGAACGTGTCTCAGAATGTGAGGGAATGCTGTGTGCTTAAGTGGCAGCTCCATGGAGAGGCTCTGCTGTTCAACTCAAACAAGAGAAGCAGCCTTTTGGGAAGACATGCAGGCCGGTGAAGCTGTCAATCACAGGGACTACAAAAGAGAGTGACACTGGGACACAGAGCGAGTGGGATCCCTTCTGCAGAATCTCCCAGTGAAGGCTTCTGCTCTGCATCTCCTAACTGCTTCTCCTGGCGTCTGCTGGGGGAGGCGGGATATGGCAGGTCCTCACACGGCACATATTCTCAAACACAGACCCATACAATCATAAATGATGGTCAGCTTAATCATGCTTATGAGATGGTTATTAAATCTCTAGACTGCAGGAGGAAACGTGAATGACACAGGCAGAACCTGCCATGCTTTTATTACACCAGCTCACCTAAACTACACACTTCCACATTATATTATATATACACAGACTGTTTTGTTAGGATTTATCTCTGTGATGAAGGTAGACAAAAAGGAAAAAAAAAATCAATACTGGAATGAAGCGCTTATATAAACCAATGTTAAATTAACTATTTTTGCAGGTAAAACTCATTGTGCAGTACAATGCAGAAGCTGCCCTAAGATGCTGATAAATGCAGATAAGCCTTAATAAAGATACTCAAGAATATGTGAAAGCGAAACATAAATCAGCCTGTCAGCTGGCCCTCGCAGGCATAAAATAGGAGAGGAAGACGAAACGTTAGAAGGCTGTCAGTCATCTGAAGTTTGATTACAGGCTACACAGGGTTCTATAAGAAAACAACGGAAAAGCAGAGGATCCAAAAATTGTATTGTTCGTTTTTTGAATTTTCCGTTTCAAAACCAATAACAGTAATTATTATACCGTAGTAATAAGCAATATAATAGGCTTTATGGCAGTCAGTTCGTAAGCATGAGTTATCTGTATGTTGGATGTTCTTAACCTGAGGACTGCCTGCATAGCCTATTCCATTATTAAATGTGGCCGACAGATTGATCTTTTGGTTTCAAACAATAAAAAACGGTGTGATGTATTCTGGTAATAAGCGTTGGAAAGTTCCACCGCCGCCACCAGATATTAGACAAAAGTTTATTGGTCATGGATCAAATTCGTATTTATTAATTGTAAATGCAAAATTAATTCAATATACTCCCAATGATGAGATCACGCTGCCGACCATGGGATTAGAACCAGCAACATTCTGATTCCCAACCCCACCCAAGAAATAATTTTTTTAAATACTTTTTTGGTCAGTGCATAAGCCACATCCCTGCTGAAAATAAACAGCATAGCCCAGCATGATTTTCATCTACCTGCACATGAAACTGGTCCACTAGCAATATTTCATTAATGATGCTGGTCTACTAGCACCAAAACACAACATATGCTGGTATAACCAGTATGCATTACACTAGCTACACTGCCAACCAGCTACGCTGGTCTATGCTGTTTTTTTTCCCACCCAAACATGTTTATGATGTAGTTTTAATGTATTATATGTTATATTGTCCAGCATCCCCTGGATTTACCGTAAATATCACAAAAAAACTAAACAATAACACGTGATTTTCAGTTTTCCCATTTGGTTTTAAAACAAAACATGACAGCGGTAAGAAGCACGCGCTTCTGACAGCGTGTTGCAGCACCCGCCGCATGACAAGCCATCTTAGGGATGAGAACCTGGATGCAGCCATGCAGTGGGCGATACCTCAGCACCGAAGTAGTCCGAATGGAACAGTGGGAGTTTTTTCCTTTTGCTGGAGTGTCACTCCTGCCACCGGCCCCCAAATTTTGGAGGACCTCCTTGCAGGGCTGGATGTAGATTAACGTCATACCCAAGATGAAGCAATTACAGGTTAAGGGCCTTGCTCAAGGGCTCGACCATGTAGGATCACTCATATTCACAGGATTCAAACCGGCAACCTTCCGATTGCTGGGACAGATTCCTTTTTCCTGTTCTGATTTCAAAACAGAAACCATTTTCCCATTTGGTTTTGAAACATAAAATTCAAAGAATGAACGATACACGTATATTCCAATTGCAGAGAATTTCATTTTACGTTCAGTTTAGACATAGGTACCGTAAGCATTTGCATATCAACAAACCACTGATTGTGCCTGGTGAGTGAAGGCCTTACACAGAAATCCGAAGGCCACGCTAGTGCACTAATTCATCGACAGTTTATTTGCGGATGCGGCTCCGTTACGTTACTGCGCATTCAGACGGGATTCAAACCTGCGTGCTCTATACGCCAGCCTCGTAAACCAATCACTGCATGAGAATCAAAACGCGCGCTGCGATCAGGAGCAGAAGATGGACATCTACACTTTGCCTGAGAAGGAGATAGTAATGGCTTCAAAGGCACTTACGAGCTACGTTCTCTTCTCCTAATTTAATTCTACTGCCAAGCTTTCAGCATTACATTTTCCTCTCCTTAATTAATTGTAAGTCATTTTATCATTTCTTTAGCTGATGGCTCTGCATTTTTATTAGCACAATATCCGGGCAAACACAGTGTGTTCTGATAAAATATATTTTTTAATTTTCCCTATTAGAGGGAATTAGAAGAACAGGCCATGGACCCAAGTCTAAGTGACAGCTCTCCACAACGCTGACTGAAATGTGATGCAGTCCAGATGTGGTCTCCATCCTCTGCTCCTGAAATGTGTGCATGCATGTGTGTGTATTTATGCATGCGTGTGTGAGTGCACAATGCATTGTGGGTAACCCCCACAGGAAGTCAGTGTGCACACTGAAGTCACACACACCACATGCGCTACTCACCAGCTCTAATTCCTCCTCTGTCTGCATGTGGAGGAACACAGGATACAAAGGGAAGGGGACAGTCATACATTTATACCAGAAGAACGTCTAGAATAGCCCAGAATCACAGTAGCTTTCACCTGGTACTTTGCCCAACCTCATCACTTGTCTTACGGCCGCTAAAAAAAACAATGATATTCATCACTCTCTTCATTATCATCCTAATCACCGACATCATCACCTGTCTGCATGATAAAACATAAAATTCACCCAGGTCTGCTCAAACACGCCGAGGCACAGTGATACTGTGGCATACCAAAATTCATCATTTGACAAAAGCCAATCTCATTAAAACACATCAGAAATTCTAATGAGAGCAAAACGCTCCTATTGACCTTTTGGCTTCTCACTTTGTAAAACGCCCCCCTAACATTTATCTCTCTCTACAGGACGCTGGTGAAAATTAAAAGTAACACTTTGTATTCTGAGTACTAAAGCCTCAAACTCTATAATAATCTGATATCTTCACTGGGGAAACCTTGTCCAAAAAAAAAAAAGAAAAAGAAAAAACATTTTTTAATGGACCAATGAACGAGATATGAACACAATGCCAGAATATACAGTACTGTCTTAGGCGATCGAAAAAAATGTTTAAATGATCTTCATGTTGGTGCAAAACATTGATGTCTGCCAAAGCGTGTTGGCTTAATACCATAATGAGTTAACTAAATGAGTTTGTGGTAAAATTTAATGAATACATGGAGTGGCTGAGGTGCCCCTGAGGAGAGGTTTGGGAACGGAAGTGGTGTTCATGTAGTCATCCAACAAGATATCAGTGACTTTTAGGAGAACAGAGGGAATTCATGATAGTTTTTATTGTGTTACTGTTAACCCGCATATGTTATAATGCTAAATTGTTTTTCTTCTCAACAAATATACACTTAGTACCCGGAGAAATAGCTTTAACCAATTTCTTTGGGTAATATTTTGCACGGTATTGTATGATGGTGTCTAACTGTTAGTGTGCCTTAGGAACAATATCAGGTGCAGTGCGTGAGACTCGGACTTGTGCTCACCAGCTGCATCAAGCTCTTGCCACCCTGAGAAGTGATGACCCGGAGGTCCGGCTTGCGGCTGTTCACCATCTGAGGGCTGGGCGGAGGAGGAGACTTGGCCGGAACTACTTTCACCAGGCTGTTGCCGTTGGAGACGGAAAGGAGACCTGGGGAGGCCCTGGCGCTGATGTACCCATTTGCTGTGAAGGCAGACACACGAACGGCTCGCTAACATGTTTGCGAGGGAGGGAGCAGACGGTGCTCCATTTAAGTCCCTATATTCATAAGACGAGCTTTGCACACCTTGAATAAAGACATTAACCTTCAAGATTTAACAATAAAATATTAAGACAAAATGCCTTAAAAAGGGCTTTCTGCTTTAGCATCTTCCTCCTCTAGATAATTCACAAAACAGGGTAAATTTCAAGTAAATATTAAAGAGGAAAATAATAAAAAAAAAAAAACACTTCAGATATTTTGTTAAATAAAAAGTGGCGATTTAGATTTAGAAACGGACTGTGAGATCTGTGGTATCTGGTATAAGAGCTGCACAATTCCCTCTCTCTGGAATAAAAAAATTTAGAGCACTTTTTGAATTTATTTATGAAGGACAAGCAGAATGGAAGAATAGGCTACAAAAAGGGCGGAGGGGGGCTGATATGGCGCGAGGCGGCGCTAAGCACAGTGAGGGCTCACGCTGACTGACAGGCACACCTGATTGGCGCCCCTACAAACAGCGACACACATGGCCAGACGGGCAGACTTCGCCTCAGCAGGTGACACTTGAAAAACTGCCAGCACGTCCCATCAACAAGGCAACATAGAATTTTAAACATCAACAGATAAGCTGTGGTTTTATTCGCTCTCAGCTTCCAGGCATAAAAAAGCCGTTTGGCGATACCTAAACGCTACCCCGTGTGTCACCGGTTAGACGCAAATCCAAGACTGGCAAGACCGTGAGTCCGGAAGGAGTAAAAGGCTGGGCGTGCTTCCCTTCCTGTCCAGGAAGGTGAAACTGTATCTTTACCCTCCATCCAGCTGAGCACAAGGAAAAGATATGAAGAGGGTCTGACTGCGAATGCCACGCCCTACCCGAACCGCTCCTTCCCCACCACGTCCCGTCCCCTGTGGCCGGCAGCTCCGGTTACCCCTAGGCTCTGCTGCCGGAATGCCAGGAACTCTGGGTGACGTCAATACTGACATTCCCCCATCGCAGGCCTTCACACAACAGCTGAGAACGGGAGGGGGGTGGATTGGAGGGGGATGGGGGGAGGGGGGGGGGGGGTGGGTGGTTTGAGTCACCCGGGCCACCTCACGCACTGGGAACCACAGATCACACACGTCAAAAAGGATATTTTGTGCTGCCGCTGTATACGGGGACAGCTTTTGATGTTTCACCTGTCTTAACCAATGAGGTCAAGGCAGAAGCTCCTCAGCTGGGCACTGAGATGCCGTACAAGCACAGGCTGAGGAACGGCAGCTTATTGGGGCCGGTCTGCAAACGCACGGCGGAGAGATGCCGCAGACGCTAGAAATGTACTGTTAAGCAACGGGGAAATTTGTTTCTCAATTAATTGTGTCGCATCGAGGCTAAACACTAAAATGTGCCACACTTGCAGCTGTCAAAGGCACCTTGGAGTGTGTGTGTGTGTGTGGGGGGGGGGGGGGTAAGAGATAGAGGACTTTTTGGATAGCAGAAGCAGTCAGCTGCAGAGATGTGAGGGAACAGCTGACTGTGTGGGAGATGGGGGGGGGGCAGGCGGTGGAGGTGTTAGTTAAGACCATTCAAGTCTGTTACTTCGCTCTCTCCCCATCCAACAGGCTCCCAGGCAGCTCTGTGACCTTCAGCTCTCACCAGAGTGACAATGTCCAGCGACAGAGGGAGATAAGCCATTATCATAACCCGTCCTCTTAGTGCACCATTACTAGATATGCCTTTCTAACCACGTCCCATTCTAATACCATCTCTCCACAAATATTCATTAAGTATATCATTCACTTTTTTTCCACAAAAGATTAAACTTTGCAAAAAGAAAATCATCGAATTGCTGTGGGTTTCATTTAATTTAATCTGTAATGTCTTGGTCTTGAAAGTCCCGAGCCTCCGTGACGACAACCGGAAAGAAAAAGTAAACTTCTTATAAGGAGACCAAAGACCAAAGTTCTGTTTGTGACGTACTTACCAACTGGACTCGGACATGCTCCATTTGAGCTGTTCAATTCACCTCCTAGAAGTGCCCCTACAGAGGAACAAATTAGCATTGAACAGCACTGTTAGAGATCCCAATCCTTAGAAAGACACACACAGACTCTACTGACAAAGCTGAATTTCAGTAGTTTCAGAACTAAAAAATGCCACAATCATAGACAGACAGACAGACACACAGACAGACACACAGACACACCACACAGACAGACAGACAGACACACAGACAGACAGACAGACAGAGACAGACAGAGACAGACACACAGACAGACACACAGACAGACACACAGACAGACACACAGACAGACACACAGACAGACAGACATAGACAGACATAGACAGACATAGAGAGACATAGACAGTGCTCACAGCTTGCTTAATGTAGTAAAAAAAAAAATTGCAGATTTATTGGTTTCATAAGAAAAATCACCACTTTCCTAATTGGTTTACAAAAAATATATCACATTAGAAAATACCGGAAGTTCTAAAGTAAAACTTTAATTTCAAGTACTAATAAAATTGCAGTTATAAAAAATTGCTCCGAGTAAAGAAGGTTCATTGACAAGCATCACTGTGTGCTTTTTAAATTAGAAATACCTTACTACAATAACTTAAAACACCAAACATTTGTGTTTAGTATCCCTTTGGGAACCAGTGACTGCAACTGGAATTAAGATCAAACTGGCAAGAACACAACTGAATGAGTCAGTCAAAAAATTATGACATTTAATAAAAAGAAAATGTCTGTGAGAAAGATATTGCTAGATATGTTAAACGCTGCTTGTCAATAGACTTTTGTTATGAAACCAGTAAATTTGCAACATTATTACAGAATTAAGCCAGCATCCCAATACTTTCTGATAGCACTGTGTGTATGAGATTGATATACATTTATTATCTCCAAGGAAAGGAGTGTATTTCTGCACTTCAGTTTGGTTTTATTCCCCCTGAAATGTGTGGCCTTTTGAAGTAATATCAATGTCAGAATCGATAATGAAGGGCCCAATTTGATTAACCACACATCACTAAATCAGTGCTTATATCATAAATTAAATAAACCCATAAAAAAGACATCGCTATCCTCTTTTTTACTTGCATTTCATCATTACCCACTGTAAACCTGTCTTTCAGTTATGCCCCAGTCAGGCAGGAGACTCAGACACTGGAGACTGACTAGAGCTCTACTTAAATGGAAGAAACAAAGTTTCCACACTAGGACACTCAGTCCCATTGGCCCCTCATGCAGAGCTTTAGGGCAGAAGGCAGTGTGGGGGGTTACAGACACAGGTTAAATAAGCCCTCAAGGGACTTACCCCTGTGCCTTTTGGGAAAATACACTTTTCAGCAATAATACTTCTGTAAAAACATCTAAAAATTCATATGGAAAAAAAAAATGGACAAAACTGTTCTACAATGTCAATTACAATCCACACTGTATGTTACAATCCATAATGACTGACGGACGACCAGCCAGTGGAGAAATTATGCAGCAATATGCTTCTTTCTCCTCAAAATGGATGCCTTAATAATTATTACTTCACCTTTCTTACCTGCACTGGCTGGTCTCTGTGGTAACCCTGGAGACACTGTGTTCCTCTGTAGGGCTGGTTGCTGTGGTGATAAGAGGCGGGGGTCCGACAGAGATGATGTCACAAAGGAGGTGGTAACCAGGGCACTGCTGGGGTTGCTGAACTGTAGTGTATTCTGATTGGTCACTGGGACTGTGACAGGCATGGAGAAAGTGGGAGGCTGGACTGTAGACTGAGAAAAACACAGAGAAAACATTTTACAGGGATGCACACAAATGCCGTTTATCCATCATCTTGCTAGATATTATGATAAAGCCAAAGAAACTATAGACTTTTCCATTATTTAACTGGCTAATAAGACCTTAAATGGACAACAGCTAAATGGGATCAAGCAACTTATTATCCCCAAAATGAATAAATATGTAGGCGGATAGACCTCATTTCCAGTAGCTTCCCAAATCCATTCCATAATTAAGCCTATTAAAATAAGATTCTTTGAAAAATACCTGAACCTTTTCCCATTAAAGTCCCACTGCTGGGTGATCCCAGTGGGAATGAGAAGGCACTGCAGTAGCAAAGGTCCTCATGAGCAAGACCCGTCATTTCATACTACCTGCCACATTACCTTGAAGGCCCATTTTCATGTGATACAAACAGTTTCAGATTTTATAATCTGGTTATACTCATCAATTAAGATTGGTTTGCTTTGTAGTTATATAACTTTGGGCACGGAAATTAAATACTTATGCAGTACACAGAAAATCTATAACCAAAATAAACATGCATGTCTGAATTGTGGAGATGCCTCAGATCCCCGAGCAGAATGTTGGTATGGGGCCATGGAGACACGCTACACGCTACACGCTACACGCTCACACACGTAAGAATGCAGGTCAACACTGCAGAGTCGCCTGGTGGTTAGCCAGCCAGCTAAAGGGACCGAGAGGTGAGGGTTGGTCTCATTGCATCCTAACTGCTACATACTGCTCCTAAATGGCATCTTTAGAAGGGCAGGCTTTCAGTGGACTTGACCATTTTTGCCTTCTAAGAGCAACCTATTTTCCCCCGATCGTCTGAAAAAACAGGGCCTCTATATTTAGAATGTGGGACAGACATTGCCTGTCCTATCCTGAATGGGACCCAGTTTAAGGAGTTGATTTTTAATTTTGCCCCTTTTCTGTCCTTGCCTCTCTCATACGCTCCAAATCTTTCAGGTGATTTGTTTTGAAATGATCAGAACCATCCCCAGATGGAAAGAAATAGCGTAAATGGAATGTGATAAACAAAATAAACAAAGCACATAACATGCAAGTACTTTCCAAATGGTTATAAAAAAAAAAAAAACAACAGCAACAATCATAATTTATCACTGTCCTTATACATAAACGACAAATGAATAGGAAATCAAAGAAAGAAATAAATGGGTTTTTAAATCACTCGGAAACATGCAACTAAAAAAGAAATTTGAAGGTTAAAGGACAATTTAAATGTAGCTAGTTATACTAGTTTTGCGTAAAAATAACATTAGTAAGAGAACAAAAAAAACTAAGCCCTACATTTCATTTACATAATTATAATATCAAAGGGAGCTGAAAAAGATGTAAAGACCACAAACAGAAAAGTGCAGTTGTGAAAAACAAGAGCAGTAATTCTAAAAACAGAAAAGACCAGTATAATTAGAACAGGTTCGTGAAATAGCAAAATACATTTTTAAGACAGGACTTTGCACACATAACCACAACAAGTCCTTGGGAAGAGCTTGTAGGCAGATTAATGCAGCACATTTACCAAAAATGATTAGATGACAGCTAAGCATGAGTTCACTGAGTGAAGCTCGGTGACCTTCAAGCCCTCGAAATGGGCAATGGCATTATGTTAGCACACGTGTAGAACAGGTGTGTTCATTTCACAAGTATCATTATTCAAATTCTGCTTCGAAAGTTAAACCAGCCCACGTCAAATGCTCAGTGAGCAGTACTGCTCACTTAATTACTTTTCCGTTCCACATAATGCAGACATTGCTGGCAGGTGTTCAACTCTGAATGGGAAAGAAATTGCAAAAATTAAATGGCATTTAATGTTATTTAGATCCTTAGTGCGAAAGACACACTTTAATGCTGAACTTTTAAGCTTTATGCAATTTTATTCCTTGTCCACGACTATTGAATTCTTCTCATCTCACATAAAACGAAAACGTTCAGCTGTACTGTTCAGGATTTGGGGCCGAATCCCAGAAACGTCATCTTTCTGCTTTGTATTCAACTTACTGACTTTAAGACTGGAACTCAATGCTGCGTTAGGCCATTTCTGGGGACACCTGTGCCTCGCATAACCTAGTAAAGGGCATCTGGGTATTAACATGGGGGGGGGGGGGAGACGGTGACCCCACAGTGGCATGCTGGTGCCAGCAGCTCAGAGACACAGCGCAAGTAACCACACCGCACGCAGGCCAAGCAAGGGGGGGGGGGTTAAAGTCAGGGCTGGAGGTGGGAGCGGGGGAAAAATACAGAATACAGCACTTCGTGTCCGAGGGTGCTGACTGCTGGATTCAGCACATTGCATGGCACCTGTCAGCACCAGCGTGCTCCGAACGCTTCGCCCGATTCCCTTCGGTATCCAGGCGATGATGACCATTGGGGTGCTGCGCAACTCCAGGCCTTGATGGGCCAGCAGCCCTATTGAAGCAGCTCATTAAAGGTGCCAACTTTGCAACGCGTGTCTATGGAAGACGACCAAGATTAATATACCCTCTAGCTACTTTACACTTCACCTTTTTCACGGCGCTAGGACTCAAACGAGCAAGAACAAGTTTTAATGGAACGCACCGGGGGATCTTCTCATGCTCTCTACAAGAACGTAAGGAAACAAAATTACATGCTTTAGTTATACTTTTTGATAGACTTGCTTGGTACTTTAAGTCATTTGGCTTATTTAACAGGGTTCAATATTCTACATAAAATTTTTTATCTACATTGCAGCTAAGGCAAGATAAATTTTGTTTTTCTCCCTTAATATTAAAATTTTAAGACTTGACTTCCACTTACATACTGCACTGCAAAAGTTTAGTCAGGCAGCAATAAAAAAATAACCTATTTTCTGACCTGAACTTTACTCTGGTGGATTGCTTCAATGCAAGGGTATCAAAATGAATTAAACTGATGCCCTAGTTTGATTCCATCCTTCTGTCCTAGAATCCTCTTAAAGTTACCCTATCAATGTAAGATGGTGTCAGTCCACTTCGCACCAACTGGCAGGCCAAAAAGAGGCCCTGCCCCCCTCCTCTCTCTCCAGCCCACAAGAGCACGTCCGACTTGACTGATGACCTTGGGATCCAGATTTACCATTAATCTTGAATTTTTCGCTATGCCGACGTAAATTAAATATGAATCGTGGGTCCGGAAGTCTGTCACGGCTGCAGCTGCCTGTCTTAGGTAGGGCTGGTGCTTCCATCAGAGCTGCTTGTGTCTTGCTCTCTGAGGGACTTGTGCTGTATGCTGCAGTTTCCCATGACCCCTGACAAGTGTGCTGGGCAAAAAGTGGTAGCGGGAGGGGCGTGCGTGTGGAATTCGAGGCCACGCTCGTCTGTCTCCAAAGGTACATTAAATTCCTCCTCCAAATGGAGCACGTTCTGAACAAGCGGCACACACCAAGGATGCTTTTCATCAAACACAGGCTGAATACAGCTTGATTAACGCAGATCGGGAAACTACGAGTTAAGGTTAGCATAATACCCGGCACATTGAGACCTAAGTATGTTTTTTTTTTTTTTTTTAAATGAATGACAATTATACATAAAAAATACCATAGACCTGTGGCAAATGGAAACAATCAAACAATTCACATACCTTTTATAACATTATTATTATTATTATTATTATTATTATATAACAAAAATAATAAATAAACCAATAATAAACTAGTTCATTTAGATTGCACTGATTACAATCAGAAACTACCCTTGTTAAAGTATTCGTCTGCTGTAAACAGCCTGTGCTGGACCAATGAGGCAATCCACTGGGTGTCACCTGACCCGGGACAGTGTCACGAAACCCCGCTCTGGCAGAGCACGGCCGCGGCAGCAGGCACTGCCACAGATTTCTCCGCCGGCATCTCTGACAGAAGGAGCCGCGCGCAGGCCAGCTTAGCCAACGCCGAGATAAAAATAAAGACCTAGGGGGACAGCCCGGCAGCGTGGGGACGGGACGAGGCAGACAGATCACACGTCACACAAAGCATTAAAGGCACAACACAGGCAGAGTGCGCCGTGTGGCTCCTGACACGAGGAGGAGGAGGAGGACGAAGAGGAGGAGCGTGGCAGGAGAGCTTTAAAGGGACGCGGATCCAGAGCACATTTTGGACTCGCCAGCGCTTCCTTTGAGCGAAACTCTTTCCCACCAATTTTCTAGGGGCAGCAAGGACCGAATTGTAGCTGTGCCTTTAAATGCTCCCGCTCCATCCTTGCCCAAACACACACTCGAGGGGGATTCCGACGGGCGGCTCTACGGCTTGCTGTCAGTCTCTATGGCGGCGATTCCTGTACTCACTGACAGCCTATAGCTCTGCATCATTTTATCAAATTCCTCGTCAATTTTTTTGTATTTCTCTTCAGTGCGGGGGGTGAGGGAGAAGGGCTCCTCGGGGTCGGGACTCTCAGAGTCACGGTGCTCTTTCTTGCTCAGAGCCTTGGTTCAGGGAGGACAAAAAAAAAAGAGAAAGAAAGAGAGAGAGGAGACATTAGAAATGTAGGGGATGAGGCTTGGTACTCACGCCGTATCTTTTGAAGAGGATGTCCAGGTCCTCGTTGGTCTTGCGGAACTTGTCGTCGTTCAGGGGGCTTTGGTCAATAGAGTCCTCCCCATCTGGCTCCGGACTGTTGCAGCCATTAAAGCCTTTCTTTCGTAAAGTCTGAATATTTTCGAGAAGGGAGTAGGGGGAAACAGGTTTACAGAGTGCCACATTTCCTGAGTATCCTATCCCTAGTTACCCAACTGCCATGACGACCGTGTTGCTAAGCGATGCACGACGTGGAATTTTCTTTAAGAATACCTTTCAATTAAAAAAATAAAATAAAATCAAATTGCCTTTGGAATCCAATTCATTTGTCGACGTTTCTTACATTGCCTTTGCAGACAGAAATTTCTGTGACCAGAAAAGGAATACATATATAATCATGAACATATGTGGTGAAAACACAGCCAACATTTGCAAATAACTTTTGGTCCATTCTGTGCACCAGTAGTTGATGGATTTTAACAGACATTCATAGTTGGGGCGGATCCAAAACATGGTCTTTATTTCTTTTTTTTCTGCTGGACTTCATTACTGTGCTTGTACAGAGAGTGTACTGTGCAGATGAGGTGTATTTAAACATATGTCTATGCTTTTAACTTGCCAAGCTTCAAAGTGAGCAAGAAGTACTCAAGCCTTATAAGGCTAAGTCCTATTCAAAACAGAATGAGTTAAATGGGGAGGTTTTCATTTCCAATTTGATTTATTATTAAGTAACCATTACATCAATGGCCTTCTTACATGCTGTTCTTTGTTCAATCGAGTTCAGACATCTAACAGACAAAACAAATGCATTTTGTATGTTTTTTTTCAAATGCAAATTTCCAGAGACTCACTGGCACAGCATAGCGTGATTCGAATGCCTTAAAGAATAGGTGGATTTTTAAGCTTTTGTATGAGATTGGCTACTGAATAAATGCGGTCATGGTGCTTCAGAGTTCAGGTAATTGGGCCCATAGGAGCCACCCGGTCTACAAATCGCCATGAAAAGTAGCAAGTGCCTAAACATGATCAACCAGTATTGCCTTGGCAAGCCAGTCTGAAAAAAGGTGAGCATTTCTACCATGTAACAGACACACTATTTTGGAGGCCTAATGTAAAAATCAAACGACACATAAAATTACGAAAGGAAAACTATTTAACAGTTACACTATAGTGTATATGACCTCTCGTCTTTCCTTCTGAAAATTAGCAGCTGGATTAAAAATCAGCCAGTAAACTACTATAGATTCCCACTTTTACAACTTACTTCCAGACATCTTCCCCATCAGATATTGCCGTTCTATTTTAATATGGTTAGTTAGTAAAGGTCATTCAGCAGAAAGTAAACAAGTCAGGCAGTGTGGAAAAGATATACCTGAAGTTATAAAACACTCTGCTAATCATCCTTAATGACCGTGGCCCTAAATAGACATAGGGAACCTGGGATGGGTTTGTACTCTCAAATCCTACTTGTGACGCATACATGATATATTTAAAAGGGAAAAACACGATAGAGACCACTGAAAACCACCACTCTTTACACTCTCAGTCTAACCACTTGTCTTTTTGCAAAGACATCCCATTGGGTTAAGTTCAGCCCTGTTTTGAAGGGAGCTGATAGCCTTTGACCATCGTACCTTCTGCTAAAGGCCATTAACCAATAGGTAGAATTTAATCTATCCCAGTAAAGTGTCACTGCACTTCCTATCACTATAAATAGAAGACAGTGCATATTACAAGGAATCCCACAGGAAGGACACCAAAGTAATGCCATGCACTTCCTCGTCTTCTGGTTAAAGTTACAGACTTCGGTTAGTCGAAGAAAGTGATCCTGAGGCTCCCATTGCCGGCCTGCAGCTTGCAGACGTCTACCAGGACAAAGCCATTTTCACACACATCTCCAGGCATGATTTCCAGCCTCCCAAGCTCCAAAGGCCCCTGGCTGGCATGTTTGTAGTGTATTCTGTGTGCTGGGTACCTGATGATGGTAGCCAGTCGGCTGGCTGGTCAGACTGGTCAGCTCCATCTGTTAACCAGTCCATATGTACCATTCTTCTGAGTAACTCCTGAGTAAATCATGGTACCAGATAGCAGTTTCCCGGCAGAGAGATCTATGCCGTGTTCAGGCTCATGGCCCTGACTGTCGTCCATCCCTGTCGTTCCCACTGCTCATCACCATAAGGGAAATCACCTCTCCCATGCTCCCTGTTATGAAACATAACTCTATCCCTTCCAATCAGCCTCCCTGCTTCGTTTCATCTGTGCCACAACATGGGACATTCTAGTCCTTGGGTCCCATTGGTGGCATGCAGTGCGAGAGCTCTGAGGCATCCTCAGATAGTGTTAATGCTTATGCTCCATACGGACCACCAAGCAACAGTGCACTACAAGTGTGACACACACAATAGCAACTCCTGAAACCACACCCCCCCTTCGGTTCCTCAAAGCCTTAAAGGATGATTCACCATTGGATCACTTCTTTTCACATATCCCATCCCCGCTCCTTTGAGACACACACACGCGTATATACGACTGACAGCGAAGCTTAGGGTCTGAGCACAGGGTCGGGCCTTTTGTCTGGTGTCGTTGGAGCTTAAGGGCCCAGCGGTCATGTGCCTATTCAAATACGAGAGCGGGACTTGAACTGGTGACCTTCTGGTGACAGGCACAGACGCCTAACGTGCTGAGCCACACAGCAGCCATGGGCCCAACCCACTCACAGCATAAAGATCGGTGAACTCCTCGAAGACGTTAGCAGCCTTTGCCAGTCTCCATCATGCTCATTTAACTCACTAAGGATCAAAGGCAAGACTAATACTGACAAAAGCTTTACTGAACAAGCATCCTCAGCAAATATCAGTATCAAATCACCCTTAAATTCACCAGTAACAAGTGTTTTCCCACTTACCATGAAGTTACAAGGCACAGTGTCAAGGAAGAGTCAAACATAGTTCTCTCCAAACTGCTATGTCAACATTAAGAAACATTTTAGTCATTTATTTACATACAATGACCAAATGGACAGCAGAGCGTGAAATGAAGGGATTTATGAGAATTCTAATCCTGTCATGTGACTTGCTAGGATCTCATAGGTACAATGAGGATATGAAATGTCTTCAGGGCTAAACATTCAAATACCATTCTACTTGCTGTTTGCCCCCCCCCCCAAACCCCCATACCCCCCACCACACCCCGCTTTGATCTGTTGAAGTACTACTGCCCAAGGATATTATTTATGCATGGCACATAAACCTCCCCTCCATGATCTAAGATCTAGGTGATGACGAACTCTTACAACATCATCATCCAAGACAAGATGTGCACCTTCATGTCCGCGACTCTGCTCAGTTCATCTCAGTGCTTTGCCAGCTTCGCCATTCTCTCACTCCTTCCTCCACCCCCTTCCTGACTGGGATCCGCAGTCAAGCAGCTTAACACATTCTGGCAGGGAGAGGGCTGCCCCCACCAGCGGCACGTGCAGGGCTGAGAGGGGGAGTGCGTGCCCAACTCCCCCCATCCAGCGACGGCCGATCACACGGAATCATGTGTGCGTGTGCACGCACGTACGTGTGCGTTGTCTGTGTGCATCAGCCTTCTCATACTCGGTCAAATTCAATCAGTGGAGAAACGGTTGCATGAATTACCCCCGACATCGATATCTGATCTCGGCTTCCCCCCGGTTCAAAATCGCATGTCCTTCATGTGTAATCTAGTTAATTTAGCTGTTCCTGTCTCCAGGAGGCAGGCAGACAGGGGAAGTGCGGCAGCCCATTTTAAGCCATGCATTTGTGCCCTGTCTAGCCCCCCAAGCTCTGCTCTGAGGTACGTCTCTAAAGCTGTCCAGCAGCAGGTTCTTGGGAGGCCACGATATTCCGGAAGGCTCACTGGTCCCCCCGTCTTCATCGTGACACACTTATAAAACGCCACAGAAGCTTTTCCTTGAGCAGCATAGAGAGGCCACGCCCTGATTAATTTACCCTTCACCAGGCCTGTCAGCTGTGACAAATATTCAGTTTATAGAGAACAATGGCTCAGTTGAACCTGCAACTAAAAAAGACAGCATAATGAAAAGACACACTTTTACTGGGTCAGCAGAGTGAGGCTTGAACGAAGACTCCTCCACATATCAGGCATTTCAGCTTCAACTGCACCGTGTCCTTCTTATTTTTAAAAGGTTCTAGTTGGTCCAAACACGCCCCCCCCACCACCACCACCACTTGGTACATTCCTACAATAAACTCCTTGATTAAACCCTGCTCTACGCTGCCCAATGCCCTGCAATGCGCAGCCTACTGTGCCTGGGAAACATTGTATTGTATTCACATTATTGAGCTGGTTTTAGAAAAAAATTAGTTATTCGTAAAGGAGGAGATATTCGTTGATTAATTCAGCCATTCTAAACATTTATCTTTTTCCATGCAGCACAAATAAAGGCAGAGGGTAGGAAATCGATGAGAAACGCCAGTGTGGTTTGGCTGCTGTAGGTGGCACGGCCGTCTGGCCATGCGGCCGCGGTCTCGCCGAGGGCAGAGGAAGCCGCTCGGGGTGAGGGCTGCTCAGGGCCGTTTTCCCGTCCGCACACTGGCTGTACTGGACCCAACTGTCCCCGCTTCTGCCGTCCCACCTCCTTCCGGGAGCCCTGCCAGTGGCACATAGGAGCCTGTGGGACCCCCTGTCCGCCCACGAAAGCCCGGCTATCAGCATACCTTCTGGCCGCAGCCGGTGCGAGGCCACCGTGCCCAATGTCGGTGGGCGAAAGGGCTTGCTGACAAAAAAAAGGTCACGTATCGCATTTCTGACCGGTGCAGAGGACGTTCCGAGAGACCCAGAGCGTTAGATCACACGGCACTTAATGGACAGACTGAGAGGAGCTTTAAATTAACATCCGTCCTGGTTCAATGACACGTCGCCTCTGCAGTCGAGGAAGCCACTCCTGTGCGCCAGGGCTGGCCGATAGGTTACAGGAGCTCATTGAGAGGCGACATTCAGGAAATAATAGGCTCTCAGTCATGTCGGGTGAAGGCCGTCGTACCTCGATGATGTCGGCGTTGGTGCGGCTCTCGTGGGGCTCGTTGTACTCTGTGTACTTCAGCAGCACCTTGTCCATGTCGGTGCTGGCGTACTGGAAGAGCTTGTTGGAGTGGTTGAAGATGATGAGGGCGATCTCGCAGTCGCACAGCACGCTCAGCTCGTAGGCCTTCTTCATCAGGCCGAACTTCCTCTTCGTAAACGTCACCTGGAAAAGTAAATGCGTCCGACTTCAGCTCACGTTNCGATCTCGCAGTCGCACAGCACGCTCAGCTCGTAGGCCTTCTTCATCAGGCCGAATTTGCGCTTGGTGAACGTCACCTGTGAAGCGGGTGCGGGAGGGGGGTGGGAGTAGGAGGGGGCAAAAAGGCTAATTTTAATTAGGAGGAGACCATTTGTCGCATGAACGGCACATTTGCAGCGTGCAAAAAGAAAGCAAAGTAACAGATGGAAGAGAATGAAAGAGAACAACCAAAGAGGATGACAGGATAGCGGGAACGTGTGGGGAGGGTAGGAAAGAGGAGAACCACACAGCGGGTCAAGTGAAAAGCAAACAAAGTCAGCTCCACAGTAGACTAAATAAGACCCACTGCACTGAAAGTGTAAACACAAAACATTTAACAACAGACGCAAAGGCGAAACGCGGCTCATGGAAACGTAGCAAGATGTACAATATTTCCATGGGAACAGAAGTTATATTGATCAAGAGGGACAGCTTTTTTCTGGGAAGTGGTATGTCTAAGGGGGTACAATGAATATAGAGCGACATCTCCCTAATCTTTGTTTTGCATCCTTTAATAATCAGGATCAAGACCGCAAATTGAGACAGAGATGCACAGAATCACAGGAAGTATTGTCACGTGAAAAAATCCCCAGTTTCTCCTCCTGTCACTCTCGCTGTCACTAATTGCCCACATACTCCTCATGTCACACTGAAGAAGCTCTCTCAGGCAGAAGGCTGTGTCCCCCCCCCCCCCCCCCCCCCCCCCCCCCCCCCCCCCCCCCCCCCCCCCCCCCCCCCCCCCCCCCAAATCTCCACCCACGCTACACCCCTTCCCCTCTCTTTCCCCCTCACTCTCACCCTCATCGCGGCACCACAAATCAAATTATTTTGGGGTCGTTTCCATGGGCAACCGCCTATGAGACACCCACCACCGTTCTGCACATAAATACACACAAATACACACAAATACACACACACACACACACACACACGTAGGAAAAATACACACAATTGAATCACAGTGGAAATGGAAAGCATTGGCAGAAGGGAGGAACACACAGAAGACAAAATATAGTGCTGAAAGTCTTCTGAGCTTTCAATGCCATTTAAGTCATATAACAGTGAACGTCAGAGAACACAACTACTACGGAATATAGTCTTTGTGTCTCCATACATCATATGAATGTCAACATGATCAAAATAAAATGCTTTGGGGGGGAAATAACTATAGCCATGCAGAGTAGCCAATTTTTTTGTTCTCCTCCAGAAAATCTTGGCCATTTAATCCAATTTCCACCAATCAAATGGTTGATAAAAGATACCATTAAGTGATTAAGCAATTAGCTTACTGATCAGCAAGTCACACGCCTGACTTCACCCTGTTCTGATCACTCCTCTTAAAGACTTGCCCGTGGCTAATTAAGGCATTTGTGTCGAGTTTGACTGTAGCATTGGGAAAATTAATTAAAGATAAATATCAGGCAGGAGTCGCAAGGAGACGAAGGGAGATCGCAAAGGAGCCATGCAACACGACGGTGAGAATAATCAGAATGTGGGGCTCTTTGGTAATGGAGGGATTAAGGCAGCCTGTGTTTTCTTTATCGCACAGCTGCATTCCACACGGAAAACACTGGTGCTCTGGGTGTGGAGAGGGATTACAGTCCGGAGGGAGCTGTTGTCCAAGTCCCATCTTCTGGAATACCAGTCTCCCACACAAGCCCATGCAACATGGGATGCTTGTCATTAGAGATCTGCTCTTGGACTGAGTAATGACACAACAGTGAATTTAAATATTGTTCACTCAAGCGTTAAAACGCCCCTACAGCTAAAGAGCCACAAGTAAATTAATTACATACTGAGCTGCATTTATAAATGATGTTTTAGCATTTCTTATTAAACTCATAAACCAAGAAGAATTTAAATTGGAAGGCATTTTTGGCTACTCTTGAAACCCCAGAACTAAAACATGTCTACGAATGTTAATTTCAAGAAGAAAGATAAATTGGTGGACTCCAGTACATTAGCTTGGTATTTCCACTGTGAAGGTTTTTCAAGCAGCTTAGTGTCTTCCTTGCACAGAGGGAGTAACCAATTGCCTGGGCGAGGAGATGCAAAATAAAAACAAGGAATGTTCTTGCTCTTCCTTGTTCCTGCCATCAGGTTTTGATTCTGATTGAACAAGACCATCAGATGACAAAAAAAACAAAACTCTCTCAAAACAGTCAGTGTTTATCGGTGCTTGCGGTACTTTAAAAAAAAATCAAACAGTGCAAAACTAAATATATCAAAAATGTAAAAAAAAACGTTGGTCTGTTCAGATGTAACAGAAACCTACAGGTGCCTCATGGCTCTGACTGGGCTCTCTCTGGTCTGAGAGTTTTCATTCTTCTGCCATCTCCAGCCAAACTGGCCATTCACAGACAGACGAGGCCCCTGACCGATCCTCACCTGTTTGTTGCGCTCATCTGTGATCCTCTGGATCTGAATCTTTTTTCTCCCCATGCTTCCCGTATGGTGGTGGAGAGGTGAAGGAAGTCGACAGGTCGAAGGTGTGTGTGGCGATCTGGGGGGGGGATGGGGTGTGATGTCAACGGCGGGATGGACCCTCTCTTCTCTATCCCCTGCCGGTGGGAGCTGATCAAAAAGTTCTTACCCCGCAGGAAAAAATAAAGAGGGAAACAACACGGGGGCCAGGAGGCTGGGCGTTCAGTTCATGGTCTGTTCAGTGGGGGGGGGGGGGGGGGGGGGGGCAGCCTGCTGATCGAGTCTCTTTGGAGGCTTTGGAAGCCTTTACCCTCGTTGAACGCTGGTATCAGTGGGGTGTTGCTGTTGGGAGAGGGGAACATAGAGCAGGAGATTAGATGACTTTTGGACACAGAAGCAGGAGACATACATCGCATTACCAACACAGATCAGAAGTCTGACAGCTGCTGCACACTTTGGGCTGGACCTCCGGTCTAGCATCTCCTCCTTCCTCAGACTCCAACCAAGATGGTGAATAAATCCTGAGGATTTGCTACGGTCATCGAAATCGCCCGACACGTCTACATTATGCAGACGGAGGACAGTGAATCAATCTACCATACGCTAGGAGAACAGAATGCAGTTTCCTTTAAAATGTTAGTGTGGCTGCTCCCAAAAAGCCAAGCCTAACGAGGCAGATCCTGTTCAGCAACGTGCCTAGTCAGCTTCATTAAAGACATCACTGTCATATCACCAGGCTTGACGGCCTGGGGCGGGCATCTGCCCTTTCAGCCATTAAATAACCATCTTAAAGTGGCGACGGCTCTACATCTTGGCGGTAAGGAAATCTTGTGCGGCTACAGCGACACAGGAGCACAGAAACCAGAACAGCAGTGGCACTGGGAGCCACCTTAACTAAAACATGTCTCCAGCTGACACCAAAGTGTGACTTGCTTTTAATAACCCAAGTTAAAACTAGAATTTTAGCAACGAAGATGCTAGCAATTTTTAGCCTAATGCTATCATCTAACAGACACGGAGTTCTTGCAGAAAGCCTTGATGCCTTTTTTTAAACCCCCTACTTTGGTATCAGAAAGTAAAATATTGTTTACTCCAGTGTGTCCATGAGCGTTTGCGTTAGACGTTCCAGAATAAAAGATCTATATAAACAGTAGAAGAGTGCTCTACACTTCAGACGGCTTAATGTTTTTACTTCAACAGACATAATACAAAACACTGACAGTTCAATCAAAATGGTACATAAGCCAGCTCATTTAGACATTACTTGCTGCTGAAAGGAACACAACTATCCTCTTAATGACTTATAAATTCCCACTGTTGGCTTCTGACAAAAGGAAGCATTAATTAAACTGATCTGTCTATTTCAACGAGCTTAGGTGTGGGTGCAGATGCATGTGTGTGTTCTGAATTATGTTGACAACCTGGGTGTTTTAAATCATCATCATTTCATTATGACAGAGCCCCAAGTGTTACAGTGATTCCAGATTCAAATACTAGTAACAGCTGCTGTACCCTTGAACTAGATACTGATATCATTCAGAAAAATAAAACTTAATCCATAGCTGAAGCCAGTCTTGACTTGAATCCCTATACAAGGAGCACTCAACAGGAAGCCCAGGAGACACTATCATTTGGCACGCAACTCCTACCTTCAAAGACGCCAATAACTTTGCAATTAGATTAGCAAACCTAGCTGACATCTTTTTAAGTGAATCTCCCTATTCAGTAGCAAAGGAAATGTTTCCAAACCAACAAATACTTTCTAACAATTTAATCCCCCCGTGTCACTGTTTCACATGAATACTGACAAAAATGACAAAATTAAGACAAGTTCGTACATAACTTCTACATTTCAAATGGGTGATGGATCTGAAAATATACCGGCCATGTTGCTGACAAGAGACTGGACATAAGGATAAGATTACCAGCCTGATAAAGAGCTCTGTTGCTGTAAGGAACTTAACCTGACTTAACCTTCCTTCAGTTAGAATACCTAGCTATGCACTTTTGTATAATCTACAGCTATAAGCCATTTACATCACTTTGGATAATTGATCTGTTAACCATTTAACTAACAGTGATCGTCCCTCATCAGGAAAGCTGCCATATGGTTCTGCAGACGCTCTCGGCAGTGCGGCCGGAAAGCTGGTCCTAAATGCGCTTTAGTTCGCCTCCAAGGATGCGGCACATGGAGAGGCTCCTTTATCGGTGGAGGTGCGCAGTCTGCAGCCTTGTGTCCTTCACGCCCCAGGGCCACTTCCCCTCTCATCTCGGCCACACATTCTGCTCTGTGTCATGACCGGACCAGACCGGGCCTGAGGCATTTTCAATTTTCTCGAAAGCACCAAAAATACGCACAAAATTATATTTCAGAAATGTTAAAAGCCGTTTTTTAAATTTTTGCCATTACTCCTCCTATGTTAATTTTATGAGAACAAATTTACCAACAGCAAAACATCAAACAGCATCGCAGAATGGACACTGTGTGTTGGAAGCCAAGTATCTAGCCCCATCTTCCACTGGCCAATCTCTAACAAACCTCAGCTAAACCAGTCGTCTCCAAGTGTAATTAATCTGAGGCTGCACATGGAGAAGTACTTTAGACAGATAGTGCAGAGTTTCCAAATGGGCATGAACGCACACAGGAACCCCCATTAGATTTTCACAGGATCAAGTCAGCACAAAAGTGCCGTCTAAAACGGCAGCTGAGAAACAACATGGCCTGGTGCTCCAAAGGAATGTTCCTGTGGTAGGATCCCATTCCGTTCCTCAAGGAGAAGAGCCCACAGCCTGGGGGAGGAGAGCAAAGGTGGTGGGAACACAGAAGCCTTCCTCACCCAGCTGTGTGATTCATACTCAGCTGTGGACTCGGATCTCTGGGGTTACGCACAGGCATGCAGGCACACACACGCACACACACACACACACACACACACTCATACAGAAGATAACGATACAGGCCACACCCACACATAAACCTTTGTTACGCAGGAATGAGCAAAACGTGTTTTTTTTTTTTTTACTTCCCCATTATGAACTATGTTAGCTATAGTTAACAACAATGCGTGAAAGCCATCAGCTCCAAATGCATGTGATTTGCGTGTTTCGTGTTTGCTTACGTCACATGGGACTCAGAGCTTATAGCGAGTACCAGCCCAGTTACTTACTACAACCTCAAAGAGAACTGCTGGTCAAACTGTCGACTCTTCTAGGGATCTCCAGCAAAACAGGAAACTGCCAAAGAGGATGCCCAATAAGGAGGGACATATACAGTAGATTTCCCAGAGCACAGTTCACCACGGGCAAAAATCAGCATTACATGGGGCAGCGGGTTTGTTCTGCTGATTCCAGATCAGGCCCTCGGCATTTATCCAGAGAACAAAAAGGGACATTCTGCTCCACTACCAGTACCCTTATAATCCAGAGCTTAAAAATGCCTGCTAAGCAGACGACATGTAACAGGGGCACCAATGATCCCTGAAGCCAATTGTTCTTCATGAGCAGGCAGCCGTACACCACAGAACCATGATATTCCGGCTTTCATGCCGAGAACTCTAAGGTGCTTCCTCTTCCCTCCAGTGAGGAGCACATTGACTTCACAGCTGCTTTCTGCAGGTTCTAAGAAATCAGAGTTCATTTCCAGTAGATGGTGAACATTGCTGTACTGGGGACAAGGGCGAGTGCGCTGACAATTTTAACTTTGCTTATATATATCTGTAGTCGGAGTGGCGGACATAATATATAACACAAATAATAAAATGTTGCAAGAGAAAAATCCTGTTCAGAAGATGGATAATGTGAGCAGTCTTAACTGGAACATTAAGGATGGCAGAACACAACATAAAAGCTGGAATGTCATAGAGACACAAACTCAGACAAGCAGCCACACACACCCACTAACATGGATGCCAGTTACTCAAATGGTGCAGTGGGACTGGATGATTTCCCTCCAACCAGCACCAACTTCTGGATATTTCCAGTCATTTACCTCATTCACGGGCAGGGGAGCAATGTCCTACCGATGCTACTGACTGTGTGTTGTGACTAGACTTTTCAACAGCATCATCTGTTGCAGAGAGAAACGCTGCGAGAAACTATCAAGCCTGCCTCGGAGAGCTGCTATCCAGCTTTACCGTGGGGGTTGGGGGGGGGAGAACCTGATCGCTTTGGCCACAGGTGGCCGGGGAGGCTACAGTGCAAGGACAGCATTCCCCCTTTGAAGGTGGGGGAAGGGGGGCTTACTCTACAGCCTGAGAGGCATACCCTTACTACTGAAGCAGCAGGCTCTGCATAGGCACCCACTAAGACAGATAAACATTTTCCCTAAGACCCCTGCCTCATAGCTAGACAAAACCACAGAGACATGGATCAGAGGGCCTGTCTCCACAGTAAAATCACACTGGCCTCATCAAAAATAAACTTGACTGTAGCGAGATTACGTAGTTGGCCAAGGGTTCAAATAATACGGCGATTATCAGTGCAGTAACTCCATCCATCACGTCACTGAAGCTCAACGCTGTCAGCAATGTCAGATGCCTTCCTGAGATGGTCTGCATGACAGCTCACGTGAAGCACCACAAAGACCAGGACTACTGCTACTACCACCAGCCCCTGGCCCAGTTTTCAAGGTGGTTCATCCACCGAGGGCTTTTGCTGTCGTCAACCAGAAAAACCTAAAACATCAGTATAAGCAAAGCGAGGTTTGGTGTCATGATACGACTGAAACATCATTCCTGAAATCCCCTACTCACAGAGGAACAAGTTAGTACCAATGAGGACAAAGCAACTTTTTCAGATCACCAAAGCATCTGTTATACAATGCTAATATTCACTAAAAAGCCCATGTAAAGTATAGAAATTATCCAATACCATAACACACAGAGTTTCTGTATTTCAGTGTTCAAAACTCAAAACAAAGTAAAACAAAACTTCTGATACATTTAATATTGATGACAGCAAAGTCAAAGTGACTGGCACTTTATTTTTCAGGGGCGAGTTTCCCGAAGCTTTTAACATAGAACTTATGAACAACGTAGCGTTAAGAAGGCTTCGGAAAACCGGGCCCAGTATGTTACATTTAGCCATAATGCAAAAAAAAAAAAAACTTACACTTTTTCCACCCGCCTCCTCTGAAATGTCACAATTTCTGCCACAACCGTGATGCAGCGTATAATCGAAAGAGCGTAATAAACACTTGCTATTCATGACATATTGGCAGAGTGGCACTGGGTCAGAGAGCAGACGGGCGTTCGAGTGGTGAGGCAGAGTCACGGGCAGCTCACTGAAGACTGAAGGCATGCAAATCGCCACACAGGACCCCGTGACACCATCCCGACATTGAA